CATGCATAATGATCTTATTGGAGAGTTTGAGAATTGTCCCACGGCTAAAGACATGTGGGACAAGCTTAAGGTCACCTTTGGGAAAACTTCGGCTACTAGGCTGCGTGCCTTGAACTTAAAGTGATATAGATCCTAAACACTCTGTTGCCGAACATTTGCGTGTCATGAGTGCCATGATACGTGACCTGAAAGCTGCGGGACGAGATGTATCTGACGAGAAGCAAGTTCTAAATGTGGTTCGTTCACTTCCAAATGATTCTGAGAATTGTAAGAACTTCAAGCTCCTCATGGCTCATAGCGAGAATGTAAAAACTTTTTCAGAACTCGCTAAACATATTGAAATGGAAGTAGAACGTCAGAGAACGTTAGCACCTTCCAATGTTGCATTTGTTGCCCATGGTGGTCAAACCAAGGGAAATAAGCGCAAACGAGCCAAGAAATTTTCCCGTCCTTCTCAAACTTTTGGATCAAATGGTGGTTCAAAGAAACAACTTATGGCACATGGCCAAAGGGAGAAGAAAATAGCGCGTGTGAAGTGCTATAATTGTGGACAGAAAGGTCATTTCGCTCGTGATTGTGCTGAGCCGAAAAAGGTACCTTCTACCACTAACTCTTTTGAACTATTTGTTTGTTCTCATGCATTAGTTGCTAATTCTATTCCTAATTGGATTATAGATACGGGAGCAAGCAAGCACATAGTTCATGAAAGATCTGGATTTGTGGAGTTTAACCGGTTTCCTATTGGCACTCAAACTGTCATGTTAGGAAATGGGAGTGAGGAAGATGTCCTTGGGGTTGGAACATACCAACTTAAACTCCATGGTGGAAATACACTACTCCTGCATGATACTCTCTATGCACCCGGGGTGCGAAGTTGTTTACTTTCAGTTGTTTCCTTGTTAAAACTTGGTTTTTCCTTTAACTTCAATACTAGCGGTTTGGACGTTTTGTATCATGACAATTTATTCGGACATGGTATTTTAAAGAATGGTTTCTTTGTTCTTAACTTGGATGAAAGTTATAATGACTCATCACATGCTTTTGCTTCATTTTATAATGTTGATTCTGAATCTGTTAAATGGCATGCGCGACTTGGTCATATTGGTCAAGATAGATTATAGAATGTCAAGACTAGCTAAAGAAGGACATTTGGGACAATTAACTAAGGTTAAATTGCCTAAATGTGAACCTTGTCTAGCTGGAAAAGCTACTAAAAAGCCTTTTGGTAAGGCATCAAGAGCATCAAATCCTTTAGAGCTGATTTATTCTGATATTTGTCGGCCTTTAAATATAAAAGCTCGTCATGGGGCTACATATTTTATTACCTTTATAGATGATTATTCACGTTTTGGGTATGTGTACCTATTATCTCATCGACACGAAGCACTTG